ATCTTTACAAATCAATCTGGTCGGAAGAGAACTACAGAATTACATGTACCAAAGACATTCCCAAATTATCAACTAAATGTGACTGGCATAGAGTTTAAGAAAAAGAAATTTGCATGGTCGTAACTTGTACAAAAGAGAGGGAAATGTGATAGTAACCGTTCATGAAGCCTTAAAGTACCGCTCTAGTATAACTGGAACTTGTTGGTGGTAGAGGAGTGGGAAAATGGGAATGTAGAACCCTGAGCTTACAAAATTGGGCAGATGCACAAAAAAATCTCTCATCATTCATTTTAACTTGCTCCCCACTAGGACTTTCATGGAGTTCAAGAATAAAATTAAATAAGTAATGAATAGAGTAGATGTAATACAAAGGTAGGAAAAGTAAGAAAGTGAATAGCTGAAAAAGTAGGGACAATTATGTCTTCCAATTTTTTGTAATTTATAAAAGGTAAAGCGGAGATAGTGGGAAAAGCTTCTATGAAAGGAAAGTGGAGCAAGTAAAAATAAACCGAGATAATCCAAATATACAACTGTACAGGTGCAATACTAAAAAGCATTTATTTGAGTGTATGTTACTGATAGTTTAGGCCTTTAGGGGTTTAGCTGATACTACACAAGACCTCAAAGGAGGTCTAATTTGTTACCCTGTCCTAGATGATAATTTTTTATAACTTCCTGCCTTATGGAACTCAGTAATTGTTAGCTTCAATTGGCAGAAAGGTAGTCTAGACAAATTTTCTTGATCCGTCATTGTAAGGGAAACTATGGATCTAAGTAGCATAGATTGACATTGATGCGGCGTTAAAAAACACCCCAACATTCTTTGTTCACGATGGAAAGAAGGGATTGAGAAGTATTTACGAATCAAGACGATACCTGAACTTTACGAAGAAAATTCCCTGTGCGGTGCAACTTTTCTATGTGTTCTCTCTTTTCATATAAAGAAGTATTAACCCCATCACTTCTAGATTGCACAGACATTATCTGCAACATTTTGAAAATAAAAAAAGTGATCTTTTATGAAATCCTACTTCATTATACACACACACATTGATATATACACACACATACGCACAAATTATGATTTAAATAAAATCATATACTCCCTCTGATTCATAAAGAAGTTCCACCTTTCCTTTTCGGGCAGTTCCAAAATTAAGTTCCACTTTCAAACATTTCCTTATTTGGAAAATTATCTCCATCAAAACAGTTCCAAACAGTGTCAAACAGTGCCAAACAGTGTCAAACAGTGCCAAACAGTGTCCAAACAGTGCCAAACAGTAAAGATAAATTTCTTTTCTTAATACGTGCGAATTCAAAACCGGAACTTCTTTATGAATCGGAGGGAGTATATTGTATAGATGTGTGCGCTTGTGTGTCTTTTTATCTTTCCATGATTGAGATTGTCTATCTATACTAACTAGTCCCTACAGAAATAGCTATAAAGGACCTTTTCAAGAAGCTGTTCCATATTTGTTTCCATGCCTACTATGTTATTATTCATCCTGAGACCAAAACAGAGCGAGAGAGAGAGAGAGTACAAAAAATTAAACAAACAGTAAGTTAATTAACAACAGTGAGTTAGATGCAACCATACTCCAATAACGATTATTCATTCATACGCGTTCAAAACTCTCATACTACAGACATGGTTGTTTCATATTTTGCATATTCAATTGTACTTTTGCTCCAAAAATTGATATTTATATAAAATATCAAATTACAAGCCAAACTTAGACAAAGCTTTTACCTTTTAATTGTATCTGTTGCACTTATGAACTTGTTGTAATTCTCGTATACTAACATTTGCAAGTCAGTGTCTAAGTTTTTTATCTCAGCGGCCATTTCAACATGCCTCTGCAGCAATCCCTCCAAATTAGACTTTTGAACCTAAAATAAACGTGCAAAGTCAAGGATTTCAATTGTGATTAGCACAAGAGGGGGGGGGGGGTGTTTATGCCAGTCTGAAGCTAGAAATGAAGCCCTACCAGCAGATTCATGTATTGATCAGCGTCAAAGGAGGCGGTGTTAATGGTATCCAGTGTGGCAAATCTGGAAGAAGCATTCGGAGGAGCAGAAATAGAAGATGGGTCGAGCGAGTAGAAACTCGATAGCAAATCTCTCATTCTCTTTGCCTTGCTGTCCAGCAGCTCATCATCTACCCCCATTTTTGTTCCTTCTCGATAATGTATCTATGGAATTCTTTGAGGCCGAGAGGGGTAAGGCAATGAGTATATGATTAGGAACCGCAACGGTAGAGACTAGAGAGCCCTTTTCCTTTGATTCGACTGACGATTCAGATGGCAAAATCAGAGAGATAACGGATCAATGAGCAATGTCAACAGATCAGCTGATGTTCCAATATAACTTCAAGATGCATCATTGATTTCAGTAGACTTTCTACCGCTGCCTCAAACACTTCTGATGTGGGAAATTCTGCATATTATTAGACCGTCAAAATAAACTAACACTTGTTTGGGAGAAAAAACCAGAGGTGTTAAAGAAGTGTTAGTAATGGTTAGCAAGTGTTAATAATAAACTTCCCAACACCTTAATTGTCCATTTTTTTAACACCCCGATTTAGAGTGTTTTGAGGTGTTGGACAATTATTACCCTTCTCATTTGCCCGAAAAACATAAAATGCTTCGACATTTCACTTCGAATGTCTTCCCCACTGGTCTGATGGTTTGTTTTTTCATCTCTTCTCTTTACTCTTTCTTTACTCTTTCTGTAACACTTCAATTATTAACACTTCATTCATTTGACTCTCCCAGACAAGGTAAAATTATGTCTAACACTTACACTTCCCTTCCCTTTTGAGCCCTTACTAACACTTTCATTACTAAGGGAGTGTTTGCAATCACTTAAAAAAAAGCACTTCTCAGCTTTTGGCTTAAAAAGCACTTATTTACCAAACACTACCAATTTTTACTTTTTCTCGGCTTGCGTGTGAAAAGTGCTTTTCCCCTTTCTATTACACAAAAAGCACTTATTTTACCAAACACTCTCAACTTTTACTTTTCAAAATCACTTTTTTCTCAAACACTATCAACTTTTCCTACTAATCACTTTTTCCTTACATCTCCAAAAGTGCTTTTTTTTAAGCAGAAGCAATTGCAAACACTCCCTAACACTTCCAAACACTCCATCCAAATAGGCCCTAACCCCGTCGATAAATCAAGGCCGGGCGTTGGTGAAAGTGTGAAACAAAACGGCTTACCAGGATGTTTTTACTTTGGACGGTAATTTGGTAGTCTAGTCTTATCCGGTCTGATCTGATTTTTTTTTTGTATTTTTATAACTATTCTGATTTGATCTGGTCTGGTCTGAGACGAATTACCGTTCAAGTAAAAATATCCTTACCTGATGCTCGTATACACCTAATGCACACTCACAGGTCACACACATTTGATTATTTCCACCAAACTAGCTCGGAGTTCTGCGTTTCTTTTTACTTTAAATTAAATGTTCATTTGTATATCTAACTTTATTGGATGTGAGATAAAAATCTCAAACTTGCATATGTATTATAGAGTATTATATTCCGAACTTTATACAAATAGTTACTTTGGCACCATAATTTTATGTTACTTTATAAATACAATTTTTTGGAATAATTGCATAATTTAAAATATTCTAAACTTTCATAGAATCTAGTTAACATTCTAAAAGTTCATTTGTGAAATAAAACCATGGGACAATATAATTTCAATTGCATTACATTTGTGAAAAATATATGACAATGGTACTAACATAACTTTTTAACACCAAAACTTTTTTTGCTTCAAAAACACCATAACTTTTTTTATAAATATAATTTTATGAAAGTGGTAAATTTTATACTCCCTGCTCTCGAAAGGTTTGTCAAATTGATTTTTCTTGATCAATGATGATGGTACCATGGAACACAATCATGGCCAAAGAACAAATTAAAATGAAGCCCATTTATGGGACAGACCACTAATCGGGATTAATCACTAATAATAGTCGTTGGGCCTAATTAGAGATTCAGCTCGCGAAAGGAATCCACAATCAGACCAGTCTGGACACAAGCCCTCGAGCCTGGGCGGAATTCTAGAGAGATCGGACACATCCTAGGACTTATGTGTAGACCATCATTTAAGCATATTTACCTGGCAGCGGCAGATATGTAATGAAAGAAACTTAGACCTAGAGGAACAATGATTGCACCACGTTCGAAACATTATAGGACTCTTGCTTATGATTAAATGTATTAGTGTCCTCTTAGAATACTAGAACATAAGATCTATAAATACTAGAACCCTAAATATACTTCATGTGAATACTGCCTTACGTTGTCATCTGTTCTCGTAGATTAGCTCTCGTAGTTGGAATTAAACTCCATCAAATGACAATCAACTTTTATCAATGATATTTTTATATATGGAATTATTGTGAATATTAAAATTATACTCTATCTGTCTCAAATTATAAGATACTTTTCGGTTTACGATGTTTGACCGACGATAAAGCAAACAGATCCCTATCTGCACTCAAATTATTTTTAGAAAAAAAATATTACATATTCAAAAACTACATTAAACCCGCTACAAAACCTGCAAAAAATAATTCAAATTTCATAAAATTTGGATATATAAAGTAAGAGATTAAGAGTGATTTGTATTGACCAAGTGAATAGTAAAATATAGGCAGTGCCTTTACGTGTGAGACATTTGTAAAGGCACAATGAGGAACAGTCAGAGTGTGGCAGTACCTCATTATCTAAAATTTAATACTCCATCTGTCCCAATTTGTAAGACATTTTAAAGTTGACGATGTTTGACCGCGTATGATAGAGTTAGCTAGCCCATAATCGTACATTCTTACCTTAACTTTCTATGAAGAATCGCATTGCCTACAGGAATGAATCTCAAGTAACATGAAACAAACATACTACTACGTATAAAACTTCAAAAGTAGTATGCCGAAATCAGAACAAGTTTCCAAGGACAGGCACTCTATTAATCTATTTGGCACTCAAGAAGATGAGAATCCTCGGATCATTGCGTGTAAGGACAGCTACCGAATTCATTTGACATGGAAAGAATAACAATATATAGACATTGAAGAGTGGTTAGTCACACTATAAAAATTAAAATGACAGCAATATATGATTGAATAAATGCAAAATTTATATAGCAGATGCCTAGAGCACCACTTCTGAAAGATGCTCACATAAAAACATGTTACCATTTATAGTTTCTTTGCTGCTTGAAATGAAAAAAAGCCTATATATGAACTCTAATTACTTGGCATTGATCATCATCCCCTCTCTGTACTTGAAACATCACGTTGACAGTTCATATTTAAGCTACTAGTTGTGCTTGGCATAGGCAGTGCCTTTACGCGTGACTGTTCAGGTAATGAAGCATGTACTTTTGCCTTTAGCTGCTCAAGAATCCGATAAGCTTCTTTAAGTTCATCATCTGCATTTGGACCGTGGCATTCCCAAGCGTCTATAACTTTCTTTTGGAAGTTAATTGCAAGTTGATAGCTGCAAAAGAGGATACATGTCTAAAGTTGTTAAAACCCAAAATAGTGTGTTTTTCATCCAATATGTAAAGCAAGATAAGACATAGTATTATAGACTGAAATTTAACCCTTGAAATCTTCACTGAGAACCTAAGAGCTCTCCATGAAAGCTGCTGATTTTCTTTTTCCTGTTTCATTCTTGAAAGTTTTTCTTAAAGGTACAACAACAACAACAACAACAACAACGACTAATTTTTGGCCAAATGCACAAAAATGACCCTGAACCTTTAGCCCAAAATACCACATCAACCTTGAACTCTTAAAATGTCCACTTTAGCCTTTAAATGCATTATTAGCTCAGTAATAACCCCGAACTTCACAGAAAGTCCTGTTTGACTTTGAGCATGCCAATTAGGTCCATGAGAGAGCCGTAGGTGATGATAAGATCAATTTCAATAACATTAAAAAACACATTATAAAGTCTATAAAATGTAGCCCACATTTGATTAAAGGTTTGAATATTGATCTTTTAATGTGTTTTTCTTGGCCTTTTTTATAAAGGCATTAGTGTTTAAAGTTCAGGGTCATTTACTGGATAAATGGTGACTATAATATAAAGACTTTGGAGAATATGCCTGAAAGTTTTCTGCATATATAAAATTAAAACACACAGACTATGCATAGTGAATGAACCAAGAGACAACATATTTCTTACCTTCCCATAGCAGCATAAGCTTTTGAGAGGTTTTGGCACGCCTCTATTGAATCGGCATGGTGAGGGCCAAGAGAGACATCCATTATATCCTTGGCATAAGCAAAAACCTGTGCAGCCGACTGTGGTCTATCTAATTCCAAATAAGCAGCGCCTAAATTATTATAAACATAACCAATACTATAATGTTTCGGACCGAAGCTCTCTTTAAGCCTTTCAGCAGCATCCTCCAAGTAAGGAATCCCCTCTTCCACTTTCCCCATTAATAGAAGTAACCAACCAATCCTTGCAGAAACACTCCCCACTGAATGTTGTTCTTGAGGAATCTTATCGAGCATTTTAAGTGCTTTTTTCAACAAGGATATGGCAGTTTCAAACTCATTCATAGTCTCATATTGCATAGAGATTTCCATATAAGCTTCAGAAACATCAACAGGAAAGCTCGTTTCTTTCTTTCCAAGAATCCCACATGCAATATCGAGACACTTCTTTGATTCTTGGAACTTCTCCTGACTAGACAAGGCTTTTGCCATGGAGACAAAGACCATTGCTCTATCTTTGCTTTCTTTTTCAGTTCGTTGAACGACACCCTTAAGGGTGTTAATGGCCTCATCATATCTTCCCAAAGCAATCTGAATATTGGCAGCATCAACCTCTGCTTGCAGTAGCTCTGGAGCAAGACCCCAATTCTTTAAGACCCTTTGTGAAAGATGATTCTGTTCTAAAGCCTTCTGGTGCTCCTCTAAACCAGTGTATATGATCCCCAGGACTCTTCTGTCATTAGCAACCTCCACAGAGTTATTCCCCAGTAAGGCCTTGTGCATTTCCAAAGCCTTCAAACAAAATGGCAATGCCTCACGGAAATTTAAAACAGAAACATAAGCCTCTGCCACATCCCTGTTAGCTATCCCAAGTTCTTTGCTGCCTTCTTCTAAAGTCATCTCTTTTAGCTCCAAAGACTTCCTGAGGTTAATAAGAGCTTCCTCCCTCCTTCCCATGGCTGTCTTTGTGTTATACAGTTCAAGCTCAACGGCATGGAGGATAGGACTAAAATCTTCAAAACTACAAGATCCATTTTTCTCTAATTGGCCCAAAACCCTTTTGGCCCTGTTGAGGTACCCTAAGCTATCATTAAACCTTTTAAGACCATAACAAGTAGAACCCATCAGTTGCAGAGTCATGGCGAGCGGTAAAGACACGCCATCTTCATCTCTGTCTAAGGCGTTCAAAGCCCTATTGCCAAAAGATAAAGCCTTTTCGGGATCCTTACCTTCCTGGTCGAGTTTGAGTCCCATTTTCAGGAAAGCCATGCGGAGCTCTCTTTCATCAAAGCAGGTTTCCATGTCGTTGAGAGCTTTGAGCATGTCCTCTGTGGTCTCTGCCGACTCGAAGGCCTCCTCGAGTTCCGACTTTTGTCTGATCTTTCTCTGTCTAGAGGACATCTGGAGCGGGGTTTGTTCCGCGAGAGTGTTAAAAAACTGGGATAGATGAACATTGGGGAAGAGAAAATGTGGGGGTTGGATTGAAGGTCTGAGATGGTGGCGGAATGGGTATGCGGGGGCAGTGTGAATGGGGAAGGAGGTGGTGGAGATGAGAGATGAGAGCTTGGCGTGGCGGTGGAGCTGTGGGAACAGTGTGGAGGAAGCTCTTCTCATTGCGAAATTCGGGGATTGCGATAAACCCTGAGTCCAATTTCTTGACCTGGTGTTGTTAAACCTTTCGGCGAGTCTGAGATTTCCACGGTGACCGCCGCCGTACACGGAGGTAAGTCATAAGTGTGTCAAGACTCAAGAAGCGTACTTTTTTGGTGAAGGAAAAAATAGGAAAACTGTGCGAAAGTACTCGAACTTTCATAAAAAATATAAAAATTTCAAACGCATTATTTTTGAATGGTCCAGTCCGGTATTTTTCGATAATCAAAATACCCAGTCCTGTACATATTCAAACGATGTGATTCCGGTTCGGGATAAAAAGCTATAGAACCGTTTAAATGCTCAGTATTCGGTTCGGTACCATTATGGGCCGGTTCGATACCGGTTCAGTTCGGCTTTTATGTATACCCCTAAAAAAATTGTGATGTAACAAAAATTGTGGGTATTCTTTTTTTTTTTTGGTGATTTACCTTAACAAAACTAAAACATGACTTTTTCCCAAAATATGAGTACCTAATTTAAACATCCTTAAATAGAAATTTTTATTTGTGATTGGACCAAAATACCCCTCACAACTTTTACCACTCTGCCCCAGGACTGCCGGACCGCAGGAGCACCGCCGGCAAATTCCAGATTTTTTTCCCCCAGCAGCCTGCCAGATTTCTGCGGCCGCCGGAGTTGTCATCGCCGCCGGAATCCTTCACCGCCATTATCGCCACCACCGGACTGCCCCCGCTACCAACAAATTGCCTTAATTGTGCAAGAGAACTAACGGCAATTAATTGGATTAATCAATTAATTAATTCAATTGGGGGTAAAAAATGTAAGGATTAGTCCTATTTAGCGAAAACCAAACATTAAGTCTTACTTTGAGAAAAAACTATATTTTTGTCTTAGCCATGAAAATTTTCTCTTCTTTTTTTAAAATGTAAATTATGTGTGTATTCCACACCTTTTTTCCGATCAAAAGTAAAATTCGGAAAATTGCACGTATAAAGCCACTTTCCTTTATGGCCACTATTCAACTCCACGAAGTTGGCGATTTCCACAAACGACAAGCCACACTAGGGCAGAGATTGCACTGTAGGTGCCAAGCCGCTCCAACACATCAATTTCAGTTTGCATTGCATCTCGCCACTTGGGATCTAGAACTGCTTCACGAAATGAATTAGCTCACAAACATACTTATTGTCGCTAGAAATGCATGATGAGGAGTTGAAAAACAATTATAAGTTACATAATTGGATTAGGACTAAGGTTTACCTGAGGACACCGATGAAGCAGACATGACGTCGGGGGGGGGGGGGGGGTCGCTACCTACAAAGTATTAAGATCCGTGCCATGCAGGAGGTTTCAACGAACCCCACGTAGAGAAAGTTCATAAGGGGTCTTGTTATCTATTATTACAGGAGAAGGCAAACAATTTATTAAACGACCAACTGCCAAGATACACTCCCCTAAAAAATGATTGGCAAATTGGCATGAAACCATAGAGCCCTAGCAACTTCAAGTATATGTATGTGCTTGCGCTCTACCCGACCATTTTGTCACGGAGTGTAAACATAGGAAGTTTGAAAAAAATGTCATGGTCCAAAAAATAATTTTTCAAGACACAAAATTCCTTGTCATTGTCGCTTCGCACAGCTCGAGCATCATTTTGAAATTGACGTTTAGTCATAACAAAAAAAACGTTTAAGAATCGTCCCTGCTTCAATCTTGCTACCCATCAAATGCACCCAAACTGCCCGTGAGTAATCATCCACAATAGTTAAAAAAAAAGTGCACCACATGAAGAAGGAAAGCAACATGGAGCCCACATATCACAATGAATTAATTCAAAACACTCAATAGCACATGTAGAATGTATAGCAAATACATCTTTAGTTTTCTTTGCTCGCAAACAAGCATCACAAGATTTATTATGAGTAACAAAAATCATTTCATTAGTGCTAGAAATATTACGCATTACTTACAATCACAGATGCGCTAGTCTTGCATGCCATAATTCCATTGACAATGACAGATGCCCTAGTCTTGCATACCACAATTCTACTGAAAATGACAGATGCCTTAGTCTTGCATGCCACAATTCTCCTTTATTCATGTCGCCCGCAGTTAACTCAAGCATCTCATCAACACTGTGAAAATAGTAGACCCCCTATGGCGTTTACCCACTCAAATCGGCATCCTCATAGGTGGGCCCTATATTACACAAATCTGATCAGTAAAAGATATTTTGCACTACAAATCATCAATCAAGCGTGCAAGCGAAATAAGATTACGTGTAAGTCCTGGAACAAATAGAACATTTTGTAAACACAGTCTTAGGACTTATTCGAGTTCGGCCTCGTAAAACAACATGCGCCACATCACCATTGGGTAAGGTGACTGGATTCGGCCGAATTTTCTCTTTTGTTTGAAAATTTTGATCATCTCCCGTCATGTGATACGAGGCCCATGAGTCGAAGAGCCAATCAGACTGTGCGGGCATACCTGATAATTTTTCACTTGTAGTAGGAACCGATGAAGCCTTGCAATTTCCCATAACTTGCAAAAAGGCACTCCATTGCTCATCAATGGAAGAAGGTGTCACGCGTGCAGTGGAACTTTCTGCCCGTGCACCTGTGTTGATTGCTACAACTCCGGCAGGTTCTTCGGCGTGCATGGCATTCACGACAACACTCCCACATCCTCGTCCAATGCCTCACCCTCGTCCTCCACGCCCTCTTCCCGGATTGTCATACCACCAATCCGGATATTTATCGGTGTGATTGAAGCATTGATCAATTTCATGCCCGATTCTCTCGCAAAAAGCACACGTTAGCTTATGGTCAGTCCCAGTCGGAAAAGAAGGACCTTTATCCACAAAGGTGATCGACAACTTCTGGACGTTACTCCCATCCCCAGATCATATTCTGACGATGCTCTTCCTGAGTGATAATTTGATACAATGCAGTCAACACAAGTAGTTCGCTAAGCTTATGATATTGGAACGTAATATTCCAAATGTCATGGTATACAGGCCAAGTAAAAAATTAGTCTTCTTTGCATCAATTTGTTTTTAAAATTGTTTGTCCAGATCACAAGTACAGCCTCCCCAAAGAAACCATCTTCGTTGCCGCCCTTCAGTCATCAATCACCGCCGCCACTCATCGACGGCCCAATGCAGTCACCACCCGACGATTCCTTTCCTTGTTGGAATAAATCCGATAATACTTTAATTTTCATATTGGAATTATCTGGAGAAATAACTGAGCGTCTTCTAGTTGAAACACACTTTCGGGAATTATCTCTCTAGCGATGAGATGTAGAAAAATGGAATGACATGTTCAACTAGGGACCATAACCCATCTATTTATAAAATATGCTTAACCCTAACCAGGTCATCATTAATTAGGTTAAGCCTATGAGTCTCTACACATTTAGGCCTTATACTTTATTAGATAACATATTAGCCCATTTAAATTAATATTCATAGAACCACTAATTTTTGGGCCTAAATATAAAATAACATATAACATACCATTAAATCCAAGAAATAATATATTGTGAATAACTAAATATTACATGTAATATGAGTCCAATAATCTAACTTTCCCATCTCCGGTGAGATTGTCATCTTGTTAGAAATGACACCAAAATGAAATTTATATAAGGATAGAAGACATACCTGGATGTGAAAACAGTTGCATTTTCAAGTATAGAAAAAGTAGATTAAATTTCGTGGCAATTTCATAAGAAATATAACATTTTCAAAATAAATAATGGAATTTACATTTAAAAAAAAAACTCAAAAGATGGAAAGAAAAAGAAAAATGAAAATTTAGTAAGAAATTGCCTCCTTGGCAAAGTAAGTGGCATAAACTTGACATTTATTTGTCCAACGAGCAAAAACATTGCATTCTAAAATTGGTAATTTCAAAGCAAGTTTGTCGTCTGGTTCTGTGTAATGACATGAAAGCGCGATAATTTTTCTAATAACCATTAATTAATATGCATTATAAGATTCATAGTTAATTTAAATAAATAAATAAATTTTAAATCCAAATTGGTCGTTCATTGAAAGTGGGAACCTCTTTGGTCATCTAAATGTTTACAAATCTGAAATAGTTCTTTATTTAATCTGAAAAACCAAAGTAAAAAATCAATATGAAATCAAAAAAATCCTAAGAAGAAGAAAATGGAGCGTGAGGAGGAGGAGGAGATGATTACATGTTTTCACTAGAGAAATCGATGCCGCCGGTGTCGATCAAGAGGGCAGCTACGATTGAAGGCGGAGGACTGTGTTCCATCGAAGGAAGAGAGGCTCTATTCACGGAGAAATAATGAGCGAGGGAGAAGAGCTAGCCAATTGTTCGCAGACCCACACATCGATCAAGAGAAAGACAATTGTCTGGGTTTAATCATACGAGGTTCAAAATTGTAACCTGAAATCCTATTTATGAGTTAATAAACTTAAAGTCCTATTTTTTAAAAGGGTGACTTATATTGATAATGAAACATTCAGCAAGGGACAAAAGAGATAAAGGGAACACTTCCCGCCACCGACCCCCGAACCAGTCTGAGAACCAATCACCCTAAACAAAGCAATATGATTCGCTAATCCTGTAATGGGTCTAAATGAGCCTAATGTGGCCAAAGCAAAACCCCCAACACCCTTACCTAGTGTAAGAGTCTGACAGAAATAAATGTATGTGACAAACAAAACAACATGACTTTCGAAGTAAAAACACAAGCAAACTAAAACAAAAACAGAGATGACCTTCCAAACCCTAGTCGCACAAATCCTCCATGGCGGCGGTTCAGGAGGGGGGCGAATCACCATCTCTTCGTCTTCTTTCGCCCATACGAGATCAGCCGCGGAACGCTCGTCATCCATGCCAAGGTTCCCTCCGATCGACTGTGTGGTGACGCCGCCCCACTCCTGCTCCTTCCTCTGCAATACCAGCCCCGGTGAAATCATCTGCAACGCCTTCTCTCTGTTTCCGCTTCGAACTCCTTCTTTTGCCATTGCCCGAACCGCACAACAACGTAACCAGCTAAACTCGGACCTCCAACCCTTCGCTAGCCAGACTCTGTAAAACAAAGGGGACGACTCACGTATCTGACAAGCCACAGACCTCGACACTCAACCTCCAAGAAACCGTCGGACGTGCCGGAGCCGCCAGA